TCCCCAGCTCGGGACACTGTCCTCCCACTGTACCTGGCTCTGTGTCTGCTTTGGGCAGGTGAGTCCTACTCAGACCAGGTTAGCTTCATGCCAAACCCAGGGCAGGGCTCTGGTCTGCTCGACAACAAGGACCTGGGCCCCAGAACTGCACAAGTCACCAAGATATATGTGTCCCATTTCCAGCCTTCTTAGTTGAAGAGCTGCCCTGGAGTTCAGAAGGACAGAGGAGAACATCTGTTCCAACCCTGACCCATCACAGATAGTGAAACAGGTCCAGAAAGGGAAATGGACTTCTCTAAAGTCACAGAGCAAAGCTGAAATCCAGGTTCCAGCGCCATCCCTGTCCCTAGCTCAATCTAGATGTCCCACCCCTGTCCTCAGCCTCCCCTGGCACTTGGCTTTGGACGGGAAATTGTCGTCTCCCTCCCAGGTCCTGTCCTCTACCTCCCAGGTCCTGTCCTCCTACTTCAGGGCAAGCTCTGCTCCATGACCTCTGTGGAGGAAGCGGCCAGGCCCCACCTGGGGATTTTTCCATGCGGTGCTTGCTTATCAATGCCTACTCAGTTCTGGGCAGTGTATCCTCGGGTTTTAATGAGCACCTGAATCACCGAGAGATTGGAGGGTGGAGCCTCCCAGCACACACCCCGCCCCCAGATTCTGCGGGTCTAGAGGGGCCTGGGGAGTCGTGTTCAGCCAGCACTCCATGTGGTTCCAATGCAGCAGGCCTGTGGGCCCCATGCCTGCAAATAGCGCTCTGGCATCCTGACAGGGCAAACCCACAGTGGACTTCGCAAGTGGTCCCTGTCCTCCGAGAGCCCCCTGGACTAGCAGGAGAAACACAGGTAACCAGGCGGGGCCTCACGTGGGTGTCTGCGTGGGCCTGGAGACTGGAGCCGATGGGAGCTACCTCGGTCGTGGGGCAAGACGGAGGAGAAAGGGGGTGTGAGCTGGGCCCGGCGGCCTCAGGAATGGCCGGCCGTGCAGGCAGGCATTTCATTGCCCTGCGCTGTGTTCTGCCTCACAGATGTTGCATTTGTACAAATTGAAGGCAACGCCCTCCACCAGGACAAAGGTTATGACTCGCTTGATTGTGGTGGTCTGGAACCGAACCCCCGCTCTCCAGGGGATGCCCATGTGCCGAGCTGAGGCATCTTCAGCAGCGTGGGATGGCTTTGAACACCTGGATGCATGTGCACAGCAGGTTGTTTTGGTTTGGTTTGGGCCCAGCTAAGTTGCCAGCATTTTTAGGAAAGTGGTGCTAGTCCATGTTGGCCATGGCGCAGTGGAACTGGCTTTGGGGCTGTGAGTGGGTGAGTTAATTCGTACAGCATTTCTGGAGGGTAGAACAAGTACTTTTAGATGTGTGGAAAAATCTCATGCATTGGGATGTTAACTAAAACATAATTGGGGAATTGAACAATGAAAATAATCTAAATACTCAACAGTAGATTATTGATTAAATTCATCCATAAGGATGTAATACTGAACTCATTAATATTAATTTTTTATAGAATATTTAATGCCATGTAGTAAGTGTTCATAATATATTTGAAAAATTAACATATAAGGAAATAATGTAATATTCCAATACTGACTATATGTGTGTATATATATATACACACACATATATATATTGCTACAGCTGCAATTAGAAAAAGATGTTTACAAATATTCAAGTATTAAGAAAATGGGCTCCAAAATATATAAAGGACTCATATAACTCAATAATAAAAATAAATACAAAACCCAATTTAAAAATTGGCAGATGATGTGAATAGACATCTTTCCAAGGAGGACATACAGATAGCGGGCAAGTGCATAAAAAGATGCTCAGCATCACTGATTATTGGGGTGCAAGTCAAAAGCACAGTGAGGCATCACCTCATACCTGTTAGAATGGCCATTACCAGGCAGAGAAGAAAGGAACAGTGTTGGAGAACATGTGGAGAAAAGAAAACCTTTGTGCAATGTTGTGGGGATGTAAACTGGTGCAGCCATTATGGAAAACAATATGGCGATTCCTGAGAAAATTAAAGAACTACAAAATCGATTCAGCTATTTCACTTCTAGGTATTTATCCAATGAATACAAAGACCCTAACTCAGAAAGATACCTACGCCCTTTTGTTCATTGCAGCATTATTTACAATTGCCAAGATATGGAAAGAACCTAAGTTTCTATTGATGGATAAATGGGTAAAGAAATTGGGATGCATATATAGAATGGAATACTGCCTGGCCATTAAAAACATCTTGCCATTTGCAACAACATGGATGGGCCTTGAGGGTGTTATGCTAAGTAACATAAGTACAACAGAGAAAGGTAAATACCGTAGGATTTTACTTACATGTGGAATCCATAAAACAAAACAAACAAGTAAACAAAGCAAAACGAAAAGCTCATAGATAAAGAGAACGGGTTGGTGGCTACCAGAGGTGCCGGGGGTGGAGGAAGGGGAAATGGAGCGGTCAAGTGCATGGCGACGGGTGCAGTGGTGGTCGCTTCGTAGTGCATACAGATATGCAGTTTAAATGTGTACTCCTGGAACGTACATAATGTTACCTCGACTCAAAAAAATAAAATGGGGAGGGGGAGGGGGATGGTAAACTGAGGACAGACTGTGACAAGCCTAGAATGTCATTCTGAAGGAGCGGTCCTGGGGGTGGTTTTGTCCGGATCTGGGCACTCGGGGGCAGGCCACGTCCTGCCTGTGGCCCAGAAGCTGTTAGTGAAGGAGAGTCCCCCTTTCTGTGGTGCTTCTCGGGAAGAAGACGATTTCTCATGAGCTTTGTGATCTTACTTCAGGCAGCCTGAGGCCCAAGGCAGCGTGAGCGACCTCCAAAGCCCCATGGAGTCTGTATTCTTGCCATCTTTTTCAAACATGAAGGAGCAAACTTCAGCATGTTTAGCTCCTAGAATGTGCCAGGTGTTGTAAGTGCTTTATCTCATCCAACCCTTAAACCAACCTCAGGGGAAGCCAAGGCTTGGGGATATCATGTAGCCACTCAGTGTCAGCTTCAGGATTTGAATCCAGATCTGGGCAACCCAGATTTCTTGATCAGGCCGCTCCAGTCCCTGACGTCCAGAGGGCCACGGGTTAAAGTAGACCGACTCGCTGCAGCTTTGCAAAGGAGGAAAGGGATTTGTCCAAGCTTGAGGAAGAGCTGTGACTGGAGTTAGGAATTCTCACTCCATGAAAACATTGCCCAGATTACTGTAGCCAGTGGTGGCAACAGGGATGAGACAACCATTTATGTTTATCTCGCTCCTTCCTCCAGCCCAGGGTGGAGAGGCTGGCTCCTGTCACTTTCCCGATTCCTGCGTTGACAGCTTCCCGGCTGGTGCCCTGGGAAGGGAGGGCTGAGTCTTCACATGGCGGACGGAGGACCCAGTTGTCCAGAACGCCTGGCCACTGAGCAGATTTGGGGCACCAGGGCCTGGGGAGGCACCTGGCCTCCCTCAGTGTGCTGGGGGTTCACACTGTGCCCAGAGCAGAATGTTCTAGAAGCCTTCTCTTTACTTATCTTCCCTCCCCAACCAGAAGTATGCTTTTCTAGCAGCATTCTGGTGGTACTTGAGTTCGTGAAATTGTTAATAATGTTTATGCTAATCATTACTTTTTAAAATCTGATAAAGTTCTTCTTTTATAGTGACTATTCGCAAGTGAACATTTTCACAGCCTTTTTATTGGGCTGCCTTTTTCAAGTTTCACAAAATGGGGTCTAGGTTATCTTTTTAATCATTTTTTAAAGACTAACTTGAGAGGTATACAAAAGGGCTTACATTTTTTCCACCCGGTTCTGGCCCAGTGGTCAGTGCCAGGCCCGGACCAAATTTTTCCCGATCTGGGGTGAAATGAGAAAATAAAAGGTGTGAGCATGTCTGCAACGTTCAGTGAGGATGTCGTTCCATTTTCCTGGGAGAAGTGAGTGGTCTTGGGACTGCCTTCCTATATTTTGGAAAGTTAAAACGTCCTCTATTTTATGAAGTGAGAATGATAGTTTACCAATATTTTTTTCAGCACCCTTGCTCATCAATCCATCTCAACTCTCCTACGAAAAATATTGCTCTCCTAGGAAAACTGAAAGTCTGGGTGCCACTGACCCTGCGGTGCAGGAAGCCCTTTGCGCCCATCAGTTCTGTCCTTCGTTCGGACCCAACCAGCACTGACTGAGACCGGTTAAAGGGCCCACTAGGTGTGGCTCAAATACCCGACTCGGCCAGTCACCCCTGATCGGCCTTGATGGGGTCCTAACCTGCCTTCTCATCTTGAAACTGGGAAGATTCCCATTTCCCACAGTTGCTTTACAGATTAGACAAATAGTGTAGATACGAGTGCCCGATACAGCCCCATTACAGTGTCTCACCCCAGGGGACAAGGAAAGTACTTCTGCCTCCTTATCATTGGTTGAGGATGCAGCCCCTACTGACAGATAATAAGCAGGTAAAACCATGGCCTTGACCTCCGATGCTCTGCTCCCCATACCACAGAACTTTCAGGGAAACTGAAAGTTTCCTTTGAAGGTCAGCGTGAGCGACCTTCAAAGCCCCATGGAGTCTGTATTCTTGCCATCTTTCTCAAACACGAAGGAGGCAGTGATAGCCGCAGGCCCTGAGAGGGAAGGGGAACTGTCTCTGAAGTGAAGGTTGGGAAGTACAGTGAGGGTAAAAGCTGAAGTCTGGCCAAGTCCCGGGATAAGGAAGGAGAGGGTAGGGAGGACCCCGTGGTTTGTGGCAGGAGAAAAACCACAAGAATCTAACGAGTGCTCAGCCAGCATCGGATTCTTCACGCGGGTCTCCCTTCACACAAGGCCCTGCCTGGGGAACCCCTTCCATTCAGAGGGGGCGCTGCCAGGGGGTGGGAAGGGGGGCAGCCCGCCGGGGCTGGCCCAGTCGGAAGTCCTTTCTTGCCTTCGGAAGAGACCTGCTGCAGCCTCTGTCCTCACACTTGACCTCCCCGACCCCCCGCTTCCACCTCATGGTTGTGCCATTTCTTCCAGAGACGCCAAGAACCAGACCAGCCACCCAGACCAGAGCCCCAGGAACTGGGTCCCCCCAATGGGGACACAGGTGAGTAGCCTGCTCCATAAATACCTTCCATGAGGTTTTCTACTTTATAATGAACTAAGGTCATATATCTACTTAATTATCTCATGAGATATCAGATAGGTCACATTAATAGGAGTATCGTGCCTGCAATCAGGGAGATGATATTCCTGACCAGGCCTTTCCCATTCTTGGCTGTTGATACCACACCTGGAGTGCTGAGTTTATTTCTGTAAAGTACCTTTTCAGAGGAATCCAGGAAAATTGGAAGGAAAAACAGACTTATGAGGGATCTGAAAACCAGGTCCTGTAAGGAGCTGTTAAAGGAAAAGAGGGTGTTTTACCTAAAAAAAAAGATGTTACAATAAAAACACAGCATTTCTGTCCAAGTGTCTAAAGTGCCCTCAGTGGAGAAGAAAAGCCTTGTACAGTGTCAGCCCAAGGTCAGAGCTAGGGCCTCCGGGGAGCAGGAACAGGCAGGAAGAATTCAGTCCAGTCTCAAAGAAATTTTTTGTGTGGAGGTTGGCTTAAAACCATCAGAACTGCCTAGTAATAGAATGAGTTCTGCACCTCTGAAAGTGTTTAATTACAGCCTGGAGGCAGTCAGGGATATTGTAGATGAAGTTCAAGTACCAGATAAGCAACTGGACCAGAAATCAGAGTTCCGTAGCCCGGCTCTACACAAGAATCACCTGGGGAAACTTCAAAGACACACATCCTGGGGCCCCACTGCAGGCCAGTGAAATTGGGACCTCTGGGAGCAGGGCCGGACAACCTGCATTGTTCTGAATAAGCTTCTTCCCACGGGGGGGCCAGTCTGCTACTGGTCTGGTGGACTGACACTCAGGGCCCTGCGCCCAGTGACCTGTGAGGATGTGGGGCTCTCTGACCTTGGCCACTGCTGTCCACCAGGACCGAGGGCACTGACTCACTCTTCCTCTCTCTGGGTGGACCGACCTCAGTTGGCTGTGACTTCCCTCCCAGCAGTCCCTGTTCCCACGTTTCTCACCATCCCCTTGCCAGACCCTGCCTGGGGAAGTCCGTGATCATAATAACAACATGAATACCGACGCTACAGCACTCATGTTGGCCTCTAACCCTAGTCGTGGGCCCTGATGAACGTTCAGAAGCCACGCAGTGGGCAGCAGAGTGCTGAGCACTCCCGAGCACCTGGCACCTCTCGGACGGCTCCTGGCGCACTGTCACGGGAGCGAGGTGGCAGTCAGCAGAGGTCACTGCGGGGTCAGCCCGTGTGGCTTCGTGGCCCTTCTCCCCGATGATGGCCTGGGAGGTCTTGGGCAAATTGCCTAACTTCTCTGCCCCTCGCTTTCCTCACCTGTGACGTGGGAAGAATTGTGGCATCCACCCCGTGGGGTGGCTGTGAAAGTTGTGCGATACCTATGCAGAGCGGGCGTGGTCCTGGGCGTGCTAAGCTTTCAGTGGTCCTCACCTGTTGCTACTACCTTCCTACTGCCATTGTTTCTGGTTTAATGATCTCAGTAACCCCACAGGAAATGGGTTGTTATTGTCCTGATTTCACATAGTGAGTAACTGAGGCACAGAGGGGGTGGGTCGCTCCCAGAGCCTGTCGGACCCCCAGTGGCGTCACTGGGGCCTGTTTGGGGTTTTTCCTAAGCAAGAGCCACACTTCCCGTTTGCATCTCCTTCCTGCTCACACCACTCCTCACCCTCCGGCTGGGGAAATGCTAAAGGTGAGGGCCAGACACTTACAGGCCCCAGCAGGTAAAGCCAAAGAAAGACTGGCCCCCCTCATCTACACCTCTGTAGGGAGAGGTTGGGGACTGTGGCAAATGGGAAAGCTACATGCTGGACGGGGTGGGAGGCAGCTCCTGGCCCCCGGCTCCTGGTTGACACAGGGGCACACACTGCCAGTTCTTTGACTTCTTCACAAAAGCTGAAAATCTGTGTTAAGTAAAAGCTGCCTGGTCATTAAATACCAGCAACTAACTTTTTTTTTTGGGGGGGGGTGTTGGGTACTGCAAATGCACTGAGCCTGTCCTGTCAGTCACCAGCCCTGCTGTAGATCCAGGGGGCAGTGCGAGACCACTAGCTCCTGTACTGAAGGAGGTCTGCAAAGCCAGGGATTCGGGGGCTCCCTGGAGGGACTGACCCCCAGCCGAAACCACTCCTGAGGTGAAGATTAGGGCGCTCAGCCCCAGCCTCCCCCACTCTCTCTGCTGGTGTGATTACCCCACTTGGGCTCCGTGTGATTTTAATTCCTTTTTTTTCTTTCTCACTCATAGCCACAACTGTCCAGCTCTGTGCGTCTGAGGAGGCTGAGCAGCACCGGAAGGATATAACCAGGATTCTCCAGGAGCATGAAGAGGACAAGAAGAAATGGGCACAGCAGGTAAATCCCAAGCTCTCTCTTTTTCTCCCGCTCAGCTCACTTTGCAGAATCCAAGAAAGAGAACCAGCTTGTGATTTTATCGTTGTGGTATCCACTACTCCTTTTTCCAAGAAGGGAGTTCGTTATCCGTTGAACAAATATCTGTAACTGCTTGCGTATGATTCATTGTATCCAGTATATGCAAAGAAAGCTGGGGAAACACTAACAACGTAGAAGGGCTTCCTACCTTGAGTGGGCTTCAGAATTAGAAGACTCCTAACTCTGTTTCCACCTAGATAATTCTCTGGGATGCCCCCTCCAAGCTCTAGAGAAGGCAGTCAGCCACGCCTGCCGCGTCTGGGGGGTCTTTCGCTGCTATGAGCACATTTCCATCATTCCAATGTGGGGAGGGCGCAGGGACTCTGATCACCTAGCTCCATGTAGCTCTAGCAGTGGGTGAATGGGTAAGTGAGGCTCTGATGAACCCAAACCTACTCGGTTTCATCCAGCGCTGCACCCCCACCCCCAGGTGGAGAAGGAAAGGGAACTAGAGCTCCGGGAGAAACTGGAGGAGCAGAGAAGAGTCCTGGAGGGAGAACATGAGGCAGCCCTTCAAGGTAAGGATGCAGATGCTGCTGGGGGCAGGGGGCTGTGGGCGGGCCTTCCTTCTGTCCCATCTGCTGAGGTCATGGTTGAGGGGGCTCCCGCGGGCCCTGCCCTCTTACCTCGTGTTCACAAGCAATTGGCTGCTTCAGGGCTGGAATCCACAGGGTCCTTGGACTGGTCCTTTGGGTCACTGCTTTAAACGCCTGACACCATGCCTTGTTTTACCTTAGTTGGGAGGTCTTTTCTTTTCCTTTTTAAAAGCAATTCATATTCCTTAAAGGCAATTTGAAAAATCTAAACATATAGGAGACTTTTTAAATATTCATATTTCTTCCTCACAATAATGACAGTACTTATAATTTCTGTTAGGTTGAATTTTTTTTCAAATAGCTTTCTTTCCTCTTACATCACCAAATGTGGTCCTCATAGAAAATTTAGAATCTAAGATTAAACAAAAAGTTCTTATAACATTGTGGTTAGGCTCTCAGGCTCTACAGCCCCGGGTTTGAATCCCGGTTCTACCACTTGTCAGCCGTGTGGCCTTGAAGAAGTTAGTTAGCTTTGTTCACAGGGTATTTAATTTAACTTAATTTTTACATAGATATTATTTAGAACAGTGCCTGATACTTTGCAAGAGATTTAGCAAGTAATTATTAGCATCATTATTTTATTATTGAGGGAATTAACAGTGTGTGCAATTCCATTCAGAACTCAGTAGCTGTCCCTTAGATATAGGTCCCTTTCATTTTTGTGTGTGTATACCTATAATATACATTTATACACACATACATACTTTGGGTGGAGAAGGTGAATTGTTTCGTTTTACTTCGAATTGTATCAACGACTTGTCATTAAACTTCTGTGACATAAGTTGTAATGAAGACGTAACACTCCAATGTGCGCCCTTGTTCATTTAACCGGGCCCCTTAGGTTAGACATTTAGGTAACTCCAGACTTCTCCCACTTCCTGCAATAGTAATGATACTTACATCTGTGTGAACCTTGTTTCGTAACATCTTGGCCACGTTGTCCATCCATCACCGTCACCACTATCCAGTTCCAGGACACTCTCATCACCCGAAAAGTAAACCCGGACCCCACCAGTCCCTCTCCCTGACCCTCAGCCTCGGGCCACCACCAGTCTGCTGTCTGTCTCAGTGCCTTGCCTGTTCCAGACACTCATATGGATGGAAGCAGATAACCCGTGGCCGCCCCTTCTGGCTTCCCCCACCCAGCGTGGTATTTCCAAGGCTCATCCAGATGGCAGCTGCTTTTGCACTCCATTCCTTGGTTGTTGTTTTGTCCATTCTACAAATCACTCCGCTCCTGTTTGTGGCTGAGTAGTATTTCATTATTGTTGGCATGGACACACCACACTTAGTTTCCATTCACTAGTTGATGGGCACATGAGCTACCTCCACCCTTTGGCACTGGTCTCTGTGAATAGTGCCACTAGTACAAGCACCTGCTTGAACACCTGCTTTCACTTCCCCCAGGTGTACACCCAGGAGTAGAATTGCTGGGTCAGACAGTAATGTTATACTAACCTTTTTAAGAAACTGCCAGCTGTTTTCCACAGTGGCTGCACCATTTTACAGCCCCCCCCCCGGAAATACACAAGGGCTTCGACTGCACCACATCCTTGCCAATGCATGTTGTTTTCCGTTGCTGTTACTATTATTATTATTATTATTATTATTATATTATTGCCATGTTATTGGGTACAAAGTGGTTTCTCATTGTGGTTTTGATTTGCATTCCCCTAATGACTAATGTCGCTGAGCATCATTTCATGTGTCTTTTGGCCATTTGTATATCTTCTTTGGAAAAGTTTACATACATTTTTGATGCTATTGAAATTAACCTAAAAAATGTTATGCCGGTTTTCCCTGTAATCATCAGTATTCGCATGACCTTTCCCCAGAATTATTTATCTTTTGAAAAGATGATTACTTACAGGTAAAATTTTGTTCTTTTTATTTAACATTGTATCAAACATGTTTCCATGTAATTATGCAGCTACTAAAGTGTGTATAAAGTCAGGACCATTGCATGTGCGGTTTTCCTTAATTTCTCGTGAGTCTAGACGTCGGGGTTTTAACTACTGCAAATAACACTGCACTAGATGTCTTTTGCACAAAGATGTGCCCATATTTCGCACGGTGCCCTTCGATTCCCAGAAATGGCATAACTGGAACAGAGGTCTGAACAATGGTAAGAACCTTGAAACATATCACAACATTAGCACAAAGTGTTTTGAAATGAAATCAAGGCCCTTCCCTTGGGAACACACCCAATCCGGCGGCGGGGTCTGTCCTTCGGCCTCAGTCCAGTTTCTGCGTCTCTGGCCTTGAGTCTCAGTTCACTTTCCATGCATCTCAAACCCACCTTCCCTCCCTCAGGAGGCTACGCGGGGAAACAGCTGTGTTTGCCAAGCATTGCTTTGATATTATTTCTAGCATTATAAATGTATTGATAACTTGTCAGGGTTTGGTTTACGATTCAGGATGTTCTGTCTTGTGACGGTTCCAGGTGCACATGAAAAGAGGGCATACTTGCTGTTGTTAGGTTGAATATTTTAAAAATGAATCCATTACATCAAGTTGGTTCATGGGCTTCTTCAATTTTTCATACTCTTACTGCTTTTCTGCTTTTCTATTGAATATTGAGGGGTATAATTATACTACACTGTAATCACAGTATATAATTATAGGAAGTACTGTTGTGTATTTGTCTCTTTCTCCTTTCTGTCAGTTTTTGCTTCACATATTGGGAAGAACCATCATTAGGTGTATAAACATTTAGGACTATTATATATATATATGTCTCCTTGGAGAACTGACCCCTTTATTGTTGTGTACTCCGCCCCTGACACTTGTCCCTGTTCTCACGTGAGCTTCATCTGAAATTTAGACAGCCACTACAGCTTTCCACCCTTTTACTCTTAACTTACCTGTGACAGATATTTAAAGTGGGTTTCTTAGAAGGCATGGCCAGGTAGCTCAGTTAGTTATAGTGTTGCCCAATGCACCGTGGTTGCAGGTTCGATCCCTGGTCAGGGCACATACAAGAATCAACCAATGAATGCAGAAATAAATGAAGCAACAAATCTTTCTCTTTCTCATTAATAAACAAAGTGGGTTTCTTATAAATAGCATATTGCTGGGGGGGATTAAATCCATTCAGATATTTTCCATCTTTTATTGGGTATGTTTAGACCATTTAATTTAATGTTGTTATTAATATGATTGAATTCAAGTCTGTCACTTGGTATTTGTTTTCTGCCCTCTGTTTTTTTATCCTCTGTCTTTGCTCTCCCGCTTTCTTTTGGAGTACTTGAACAGTTTTAATATTCTCCTTTAACTTGCCTATTCTTTCTTTTACTGTTACTCTCTGTGTGTGCGTGTGTATAATCGCTGCTCTAAGAACTGCAATATATGGAAGAGTCAAATTCATCTTCTACCACGTCAAGTAGAGTGTAGGAACCTTGCCATCTTGTGGGCCCCTCTATCGTCCCCCCTTTTCCTTGAGTCTTTCAACTATGTACACTGACCCCCCATCACACAATGTTATAATTTTTGCTTTTAACCATCAATCATGTTTTAAATACTCAAGGGCAGAAGAACAGTCTATTCTACTTACCCAGGTACTTACCAGTTCTGTTGCTCTTCCATACACGCTGAAGTGCCTCATTTTCTCTGGTATCATTTGCCGTCTTTCTGAAGAATTTCCTGAGTAATTCTTTCAGAGCAGGTCCGCTGGTGATGAGTTCCTTTAACACACCTTCACCTGAGAACGTCTTTGTTTTACCTCCTTTCCTGAAGGATATTTCATGAGATATGGGATTCTGGATTTATAGTTCTTTCGTTTCAGCAGTTTTAAAATATTCTTAGTCCTTCTAGTCACTAAGGTTTCTAATGAGAAATCCACAGTCAATCAAACTGTTGTTTTCTCTAAGTAATACATTATTTTTCTCTGGTTTTATTCAGGATATATTTGTCATTACTTCTCAAAAGTGATGGGTCTGGCTGTGGATTCCTTTGGGTTTACTTTGTTTCAGGTTCACTGAGCATCTCTAATCTATAGGTTTGTTTTGCCAAGTTTGGGGAGCATTCAACCATTCTTTTTTCAAAAAAGTTTTTCTGCACTACACTCTTTCCACGACTCTGATGACACAAATGTTAGACATTTGAGGGTTGTCTTAAAGGTCCCGGAGGCCCCATTCATCTTTTCCCAGTATTTTCTCTCTGTTGTTCAGACGGGGTCATTTCTATCGATCTATCTTCAACTTCATTAGCTGTTTCCAGTGTCATCTCTGATCTCCTGTTGAGGCTACTCAGTGAGTCTTTATTTCATTGACTGCACTTTTTTAGTTCTAAAATTTCCTTTTGGTTGTTTTGAACATCTTCTGTTGATTTGCTGAGACTGTCTGCGTCCCCATTCTTTTGAAGGGTGGTCGCCCTGCCTGTGGAGCAGTTCTGTAACAGCTGCCTTGGCGTCTCTGCAAGGACTCTGCAGCACCTCGGTGCTGCATCTGCTGGCTTTCTTTTCTCGGGCAAGTCGAGATTTCTCTGCTACTTTGCATGCTAAGTATTTGGGATTGCACACTCAGCAATTTTGGACGTGTATGCTGAGCCATTTTGGATTCATATGCTGACAGTTTTGCATTATATCCTGGACATTTTGAATATTTGAGTTACGTGAGATTCTGGGTCTTGTTTAAATCTCCTGGTTCGGTGGTACTTCAAATTCTTGTCTTCTTGCCCAGTCTGCCTGCCACCATTTATGTTCCAGAGTCTGGAAATAGCTGCCTCGTTTATTCTGTCCCGGTTTTACAGCTACATTCAGTCGGACAGACGGGAAGGAGTGTGCTCCCTCCTTCTCACCTGGAAATAGAACCTGTCCTGATGGGCACATTAATTAGGCAAATTGGCCCATAAGCTTTAAAAATGAAGCCTGTAATTTTAATATAGATGACCCTCCATCACATTTATATACCAAACATTCTTTTCTCTGTGTGACTGCCCACCGTCCACTGTGATACAGACCTCTTGTGTCTGGACCTTCGACTGTACTAAATTTACTTTCCTTCCCACCATTGACTGGTCACTTCCATGTCGGGACTTTCTTCCTCTGTGTGCAGCGGAGGCGGGGTGAAGAATATAACCGTATTGACTTGGGGAGTCATAAATCCAGCTCTGCACGGCACTGCCCGGCCTGGCAAGGCCTTGCTCGTCCTCTCCTCACCCCTCAGAGACACCTGCCAGGCTTATTAGCCCATTTCACAGTCGAGTAAAAGGACTCGTAGATATTTTAAGTGATCTCTTCAAGGCTTCTCAGTTTTGAAGAAGCAGAACCAGGACCAGGTGGACTTCCTGGACCCACATGTAATGTAGGTCACCAGTTTCATGCCGTGGTCTGACAACTAAGGACTGAACGGTTTCACCGTTTGGCTAACCCACCTCACAAAACACTGGCCCCACGCACTCTCCATGGTGCACTGTGGGCTGAGATGAACCAGCCGGCTGAAAGATCTTTGGATCTTGGCCTCAGCAAGGTGTGGGTGGTGCCCACAGTCTCATAGGGCTCATGGTCCTTCCCAGGATATGATTTGTTTCCATTTCTGTGAGCTTTTATTCAGTGTCTGCTATACTTCTGACATAGCCCCAAGCCCATGTGGCAGAAGGATGGATAAGAGCATTCCATACTCCTGGCTTGTCTGGGTCCCAGGTGGCCCTGGGGCTCTCTGGTGCTCGTGGGACCTGCCAGGAGGCTTTAGGGTGAAGTGTCTGGTTGTCTGAGCTCACAGAGGTCTTTTCCTCCTCCTTCCCCCGCAGCCCTCCGGACCTCCTATGAGCAAGAGAAAGAAGCCCTCTCCCACTCCTTTCAGGAGGCCAAGGCGGCCCTGCAGGTGAGAGAGGTTGGGCCAGTCCGTCTCGGAAAGAGAAGGGTCAGACCCGCAGGGAAGCAGCGTGGCGCCCCCAAGCAGCCAGAGCCGATGGTCTCGGCCCCGGTGTGAAGGACAGAGGTGATTGTTTTCCGTGCCTCCAAGCCCCGTGATGTGGCAACCAAGCCTGAGATTAGGGTTGGCCTATTTTTCCAAGGACCGTTGGGATCTTGGAAACTTTGTGGGCCAGGTGCCCCCATGAGATCAGACTGGTGGTGGATGCGCAGGGACCTGTGAAGGCCTGAAAGAAGGCACTTGACCCTGTTGGGCTGGTCAGGGATTTCCTAGGAGGAGTGGGATCTAAGCCGGAACCTGGAGGAAAGCTTAGAATTGTTCAGATGAAGAACGGTAGGAAGGGTGCCTTACGCAGGGGAGGATAAAAAAAACCAACCCAGACTGTGGACCTGAAAAAAGTCCAAGATGCCTGGGGTGTAGAGTAGAATGGGGGAGAGAACTGAGGCTGAGAGGTAGGCCAGGGCCAAATGGGGGGAGCCTGTGAATCATGGTAAGGGGTTGCATTCTATCCTGAAGGTAATGGGCAAGGTTTTGGCGGAGGAAATTTTTGGCAGGGGAAAACTATGGAGATGAGAATGCACCTTGGTGCAGGTGGAGGAGGGGATGGAGGGGATAAATGGTGAGGGACAGAGACTTGGCTACCAATGAACTTGAAAAAATGAAAAGAATGCACCTTGCAGTTGGAGGAGTGGTGTGATATTTGGCTGCAGGAGATGGTGAAAGATAAGACTGGGAGTGTGGATCAAGCCCAATTTGGGTGTACTTTGAATGCCAAGCTCACACTGGCCTTGAGTACCAGGACAATGTCCCCAAGGCTGTGGAGAGTCACTAAAGGCTTTGGAACAAGAAGTGAGCCTGCTCGTTTCAAGTGGCGGTTGAAGTAGGTTAAGCCTGCCTCGTTGGGTATGGCAGGGCAAAGACAAACTGAGGAACCCGAGACTGCTCTCTCTCTGGGGTGTGGAGAGGTCCTCCTCTGCCTTTGTGAGCCAAGCTGCCATCGTCTGCTTCCTGCTCCCTTCCCCAGGAGACCATAGATGCATTGACCTCGCAGCTGGAGAACTTCCGAGCCAAGATGAAGAGGGTTGAGGAGTCCATTCTGAGCCGAGACTATAAGAAGCACATCCAAGTAGGTAACACTACACCTGGGGCCCTTCCTTCTGGAATCTCCACCAAGGTCAGGGTCTGGGCAATGGGAAAGTCCAACATGTCTTCTAGGACAGGGCTGGGACTTGGCATTCTTACCTTCACGAGTGTCTGGAAGAAACAGGGTCCCTGTGTCACTGGGGGGAAAAGGAAGGCACAGAGAGAGGACTATGGGATAGTGAAGTGCTCAGACTCTGTTCAGAGAGAACTAGGTGCAAACAGCAAACCTACCACTAGCATGAGCAACTTACCCTACCTGAGCCGCAGCTTCCTCATCCATAATGCCTCAGTGGGTGTCAATGGGATAGAGTGAGGTTTGACATATTAAGCACTTGCCATGGGCCAAGACAGGGAGGCAACGTCTGTTAAGTCAAATAGTGAGTTGGAGGCAGAATCGGGAGGAGGGAGCTAGCCCTGGCCCTTCTGCCTGCTGGTCTGATGAAGTCCATCCACATCCCTGTCTAGGATTATGGGAGCCCCAGTCAGTTCTGGGAGCAGGAGCTGGAGAGCTTGCACTTTGTCATCGAGATGAAGAATGAGCGTATTCATGAGCTAGACAAGCGGCTGATCCTCATGGAAACGGTGGTATGTGGGTGGAAGTGGCTGCGGGGAGGCAGCGGCAGGCCTCTGCTTTCTGAGCATTTCCTCGGAAGGGTGTGCGGGGCGTAGGCACTTTGAGGAGGCTCCGCCGGCTTGGACCTGCCACCTGTGCTGGCCCCTGAGACAGCTGAGGCCAGTTTCTGCCAGTCTGGGTCAAGCAGTGGCTCCTCATCGTCTGGGTGCTGCACTCTTCTTGCTACTCATGGTGCTGTAACTCGGCTGACACCAGGGCTGACCAGGAGGGGTTGGCAGATGTCACATGTCCTCAGGCAGGGGCTGAGGAAGGCTGACGAGTCAGACAGATATGGGAGGCCACAGTGGGCAGGCACAGGCCTGGGGAGCAGTGGGCATTAAGGCACAGGCAGCTTTGTCTCCAGGGGAAGGGGGCCTCGGAAACCTGGGGTGGAGTCTGAACGGAGATTACGCTGACCCGGAAGAAGTCTCCCTGGTCCTGGGTGTGCCACAGACATTTATTTTCATCAGATCATCTCAAATATCCCACACAAACTTGTTCTACCATTTTTATGGCATCGCATAACAGACACACTCAATTTGATTTTTATCTATTATATTCCCTGGCTTTGGGAGAACCTAGAATATCCTTTTTCTTCTGAAATGATGGCAGTATGAGACGGTGGCCGTATTCTTTTGTCAGTGTTCTCGTGTTGGCAATCCTCTGTCCACCCCGTGGCTTTCTCTGTCGAAGTCATCTTATTGCTCCATGACGTGTAGCATTTGATCTAGAAGGAACCAGTGCCTCCAGTGACCACAGATAGAGGGAGGTGACGGCGCACCTTGTATCACGGGAGTTCGGCGGCTTCCTGAGCTCATTCTGATTTGTCACAGAAAGAGAAAAACCTGCTGCTGGAGGAGAAGCTGTCCACCCTCCAACAGGAGAACGAGGACCTCCTCGTCCGAGGCCGCAAGCAGACAGTTGTGTCAAGGTAGCTGTCCCCCTTCCTCCTTTCCCCCGTCCCCACCCTTTTTGCCAAAATCTCCAGTTGAGAGTCTCAGGGAAACGTGTGGGGGAGGGGGGAGGGCGTTGACAGGCACAGGCCTCCCCAGGGGACAGGGCTCCTCTTTGTCTGAGAGTCACGTATCCCTCGGGACCAGCCCTGCCTAGAAACCTAAACCGAGGCCCTGAGTAGTGTCTGTCTGTCCCCGTCCTGGCTGAGTGGGCTCCATGGGGCAGCCCAGTCTCAGAAGGGGGACCAGAAATGCAGAGCTGGAGAGGCCAAATGAAAGGATGAAAGTACACAAAGGAATCGGTTCTGAGAGCGTCGTAAACGAGAGCTAATAGCGAGGGTCAGGCGTGACTTGTTGAATAGTTTGCGCATCCTCTAAGCCTCCTCATTACCCTGAGCTTGGGTCACGTATTCTCCTTTCCGTTTCACAAAGGAGGAAACTGCCACTTGACAAGAGTAAATAACTTGTTCAAGGGCACACGGCTAAGTGTCTGGGCGGATCTGAACCCAGAGCCGTCCACCTGCGAGGGCCACTCTCCTTGGTCAACAGATCAAATGGCCACTGTGTTCAAGGCGGGCAAGATGGCATGGTGGGGACCCTGGGGCAGGCTGGTGGCACCTCGAAGGAAGGCGTCCCAGGGGGTGGGCTGGTCTCTGTGGCCGCTGGAGGCCCCGAGAGGCAGCCCTGGCCTCTGTCTGCACCCACAGGCAGCTCTCGGAGGACCTGCTTCTCGCCCACGAGGCCCTGGAGAAGGAGTCGCAGTTACGGCAACAGCTCCAGCAGGAGAAGGAGGAGCTGCTGTACCGGGTCCTTGGGGCTGATGCCTCCCCCGCCTACCCCCTGGCCTCCGTCACTCCCACTGAGGTCTCCTTCCTGGCCACATAGGCTCCGGGCCTGGGCAGCCACGACACCTGTGGTCACAGCTCCCTGTCCAGGACTTTCTTGAGGAAAAGGAGCCTCTCATTCTGTTCCCAGGAGGGGAATGAGGGCAGGAGTGTGATGGGAGCCAGGGTGTGTGCCCAGTGAGCCCCGGGGGCTTGGGCCACGCAGAGTCGCCCAGGGGGCCCCAGAGGCCCTGCCCTGGGAAGCCTGCCGCCGAGTTGGCCCAGGAACGCACAGGAGGAGCCCTTTCCTCCCCCCCCCCGCCCTGTTCGCATCAGGGAGTTTTGAGGCTTTGTCCAGAGGAGCCTGTGCCACTCGAGACAGCGAGGACACAGCTCCCAGTCCTGACTTGTCAGCTTGGCTGCCAGCTCATCAGCTTACCCCTAGGCGTCCCCCTTGTGCCTTGGCCTTGTCTCAGCCTCAGTTTACCGCCCCTCTGAAGCAGCTGGGGATGCTGAACAGGTGACTCTTACATCACTACAGTGTCCCATTCGAGGGTCAGACTCGGAACTGCGGGATCAGGGAGGAAGCGGGCCAGACCCTGTGCACCAACTGGGGCAAGTGAACGGCTGGGAGGGAGTCACTGGCAGCCCTTGGGGCCGGCCGTGCCAGGAGCCAACCCAGCCAAGGTGGGGACAGGCAGGGTGATGGACAGGCCACTGCTCCTGGCCCCAGCCAGGGTCTGGTCAGCCCAGGGGTGATGGCCAGAGCACCTCCCCCTTGACCAGGCAAAGGTCACTCCTCAGCCCTCCAGGTCCCTCAGTCTCAGTGCCCCATGGGCACGGGGGCCACCGGGCAGGTCTGAGTACACTCCACTGCCAAAGCTGCGACTTCATCTCTGTACATGAGGAAACCTAGGTGGGGAGTAGGACTCCTGAGGCAGGGACCAGGACCTCATCTGTCATCCAGGTCTTATCTTGTGCTTTTTCTTTCTCCCCGGGCTCTGGGAAGATCAGATCTGTGACAGTCTTTCTCCTCCTTCCTCTTTCTACCTGGCCCCACCCACTTCCAGTCTCCCTTTTACTTGTACTTGCCTCTTAACTCCTCCGCCCACCCCTGATCCCAGGCCCCTAGAACCTGGCTCTCTGCTTCCCCACCAGTGCAAAGGGGCTGGCTGCAGGAATTCACCTCGGCAGGCCTGTCCAGCCCTGGCATCTGTGGACTTAAGATTCTCTCAGGAAGCTTCAGGTCAGCTGGAGGCCGTAGTAACAACCTTCTCTTGCATAGAGTGTTCAGGTACTCCACCCTCCTCTGATACGCATAACCCCTTGAAGCAGGTTCTTACCCCTCTTCAGCACTGAAGCAGACTGAGATCACAGGAGCCCAAGGGCCTTGCCTGAGGCCCCTGGCTCCAGCCCCCTAGCCCTGGGCCACACCTAGGAAAAGTTAGCTCACTAGAGCTACGGTTTCCTCCGTTGTTCCAGACTGCCTTCCGCATTCTCTGCCACCCCAGGAAGCCTTCTTCGTCCATATGTAGCCCTGGGAGTTCAGCAGGGCCTGGGGCTGCTTCTGTAGGAGTGGGCGTACAGGTCGCCCAGGGCCTTGGGGCAGCTCTGGAGTGAATCACACACTCGCTTCTTCACCTGACCTTTCCCAAAGCCTGTCTGGGATACAGCAGTTCACTGGACTTTAATAAGGAAAAACAAGAAAAGAATTGGTGGCCAAGTACTTTGAGAAACTCCAGGTTTGATCAGATTAAACAGATCTGCAAACTGTAGGACTTCTCAGAACCTTTAATCGCTAATGTCCTTTGCAAATTCCCCAGAAAGAAGCAAAGTGCTCAGAATTTCCTGAGCGCCCTGGACTGTCAGAGCACTTGCGGCTGCACAATGCCCTTCAGAAAGGGTTGTCCTAAGGGAGGGGCGGGGCTGGAGAAGGGCCAGTCGTGGGGAGCAGGGTGCCCCTCAAGTGGCCTGGGGTGCATGCAAGGAGATAACTGTGGTCAGAGCCTCACCCTGGGGCAGACAAGCTGTGGACACCAAATAGAGCTCCCGGTAGCATTCACTTGGCCTCTGTGTTTTCCTGGGAGAGGGTGGAGGGGGGTCCTCATGACAACCTCTGCAAGGGGCAGGCATCTGGGAGGAATAAGTCCTGGGGCCTAGGTGAAACTCAGCAGGTTCTGGGGTTCTTCCTTGGGTACCAGTGTCCCACAGGCCCCAGCGTTGCCCACCCTTGGGACCAGGGGTGGGCATGGAGGCTGGCTTTCAGACCAGGTCAGGGCTTAGAGTGAGGCAGTGAGGTTGAAGTGAGGGGTAAAAATAGAGGCAGGAGAGTGTCAGGGGTGGGGTTCTCTCTGCCCTCTGGGGGCACCTTCTTGGCACAAAAAACACCGAAGTTTACACAGTGACCTACTGCTTCTGCCTGCTGCTCTGCACCCAGATGCCTGCAGCCAGGGAGGGAGCTAGGAAGGGGCAGGGGAGACCCGAGGGCTTGGGGTCACATGGACGTGGGTGGTGGCAGTCCCAGTGCCCTGAAGGTTGGTGGCCCGGCAGGTGTAGATGCCAGCATCCCCCGCCCGGGCCTCTTCCACATACAGGGTGCTCCCTGCCTCCTGCTGCACCTGGCCCTCCCGGCGCACCGCGTGGGCCCGCTCGCTGACGTAGGGGGGTCGGCCCAGCTGTAGGAGACAAAGAGAACTGTCAGCTTCCCCAAAAGCCATCTCTGACTCAGGCACCAGCACGCAGGGAAGAGGCACCAGGTAGCCTTCTTGAAAGGGGAAGTGATTGCCCTAGACCCCACCTCATTGTCAGGGCACCTGAAAAGCCGAGTTCTTTGTGGAAAATGTGAGGCTTCATGAGTCCCTGGAGAGCAGCCGGGGTCTCCTCCTTGCTCACGGAGCCGCAGCAGGTAGCTCAACCTGGAGCAGTACCTCCAGGGCGGGTGGGTGTCATGGCGCCCTGGTGCTGGGGGATAATGGGTACTCCCTCCACAAAGGAGGGATGAGGGGGACCCATTATAAAAATTGCTGGGGAACACTGAGCAAGCAAAGTTAAATCGGGGTGACCCAGACCCCTGAGTCTGTCACATTGGCAGGTTTTGAATCTCCAATGTGGGTGATGGTTGTAAGAGGCAGTTTTCCCTCAGCACACACTTTGCGGGGTGGGTGGTACTCTACCATTCCAAGGGGCAGGTTTGGGGAAGTGTTGAGAGTGAAACTGCGGTCCCCCAACCATCTGCATGTTCTTTTCCCCTCGCTGGGTCTCAGCTTCCACTTTTGACACGTGGAAAGATGATCCCCACTATTTCCGTGTCCTGAAGCCTCTGGGGCAGGCTCACCTTCATCACATTTTTGCTGGGTCCAGCCCTTCCCACAAGGCTCATGCCAAATTCCAGCTCCTCCAGAAACCCCTTTTAAGAATTCCTAAAGCGACGTGGCCGTCATGGCAGAGTGAAAAGACGCCTTTGTTTCTCCCCTTAAATTTATAACAAGTTGAACATTTGGAACTCAAAGGATCCCCAGTTCGACACACAGACACTCCTGGAAGGCCCACACGTCCGGACGTCTGAAGGTGGCATAGTGGAATGAGTAGGGATGGGGAAGGACAGGGACCGTTGCAACAGATGCAGCCCGGTGCCCACTGCGACTCCGGCAAGCAAGGGAACGGTGGAGAGGGGAGCCGCGGCCCTCGCACTGGGGCCTGGGGTATGAGAGGGGCAGAGCAACTTCCCTCGGGAAAAACGAGGGGCCTCTCGCTTCTCCTTTCCCCGTCGCGGCAGAGATGGGTAGCGGTGGCTGGGAAGCCTTAAACACCTGCGGTGCCAACAGCCGTTCCAGGCAGGGGGCAGAGCCATGGATCGTGAACTTGCCTCCCCTGCCCTACCAATCCCAGCAGAGCCAGGAGAGGCGGTGAGGTGCCTCCAGAAACACAGCAGGGCACCAGCTATCCGTGAAAAGGAGGTGACTCTGGGGGCTCACAAAACCATCCTCCACCACCTGCCACATCCCCCACCTCAGTGGCCGTGCCCCGTAACCAAGGAGAGCTGGTCACAGAGGCAACACCAGCATTCCCAGGGTTTGAAGCGTTTTCCTCGGTCTAAATGATGCCACTCCACCAGTAGCCCAGATGCGCAAGCAGTGCAGGTAGAGAAAACAAACCCTTGTACTATCGCACCTGCACTGGAAAACGAAAGAAAGCACCCGACCTACAAACATGCTGGGTTGACGAGGGCGGAACAGAGACTGAACAGCGATGGGGCCCCACTGCCGCAGACGCTCAGCAGAGAAGCAGTCCATCAAACACCGAACCACCGGGAGCTTCGGGAGCACAGAAGGGAAACCAAAAGTCTCCGGAAACCAACTCAGGGCCGTGGAAGACTGATTTCAGTGACCGAATTCAAGGTTGCAGTTATGAGGAAACTCAACGATATAAAAGAAAATTCAGAAAGGCATGTAAATGAGCTCAGGAATAAAATTAGGAATGCATTCGAAAACATAGGAGATCGAATAGATCAGATGAAAGACAATTTGTGAACTTGAAGGCAGAAACTTAGGAATAACTCAGGAGGAAGAGAGAACTGAGAGTTTTTAAAAATAAAAGCACTCTACAAAAACTCTCTGACTACACTGGAAAGAGCACCCTAGGATAATAAGTACCCCACAAGGAGGAGGGAGGGATAGAGGACAGAAAGCGTGCTGCTCAAAATACTGTATGAAAAGAACTAGAATTCAGAATTGAAGGAGCTAATAGACCACATAATTATACCAATACGAAAGGACCTTCCCCAAGACACATTTTTTTAAAGCTTTTATTTATTTATCTTCAGATGAGAATGGAGGGAGAGAAATATCAATGTGTGGTTGTCTCTCATGCGTCCTCCTCTGGGAACTGGCCTGCAACCCAGGCAATATGCCCTGACTGGGAATCGAACCACGAGCCTTTGGTTTGCAGGCCTGTGCTCAATCCACTGAGCCACATCAGCCAGGACCCCAAGACACATTTTATTCAAACTCAAAAATCAATGACAAAGAAAGAATTCTCGAGGCAGCCAGGGAAAAAAACACTGTGACGGACAAAGGAAACCTTAGATTCTCATCGGACTTCTCAATAGAAGCATTATAAGACAGGAGAGAGTAAAAAGAAATATTTAAAATATTGAAAGAGTGAAATCAGCCAAACATTTTCTCCAACAAAGTTATCCTTTAGCTGTGAAGGAGAAATAAAGGTTTTTCCAGGCAAACAAAAGCTGAGGGAATCTGCTACCACAGGCCCTACG